CTCTTCCATACCTTACCCCAGAAGACCCGGTTTAGGTGTAACACATTGCAGCACCATCACACCAGGCTCAAAACACAGGAGGAAACCGCCACCTGGTGCACGGTAAGGGCTCACTGCTGTATCACAGCCCCCCGGCTCTCACCAGCACAACTCTGAGACTCCAACAAAAAGACCACGACCTACCCTCCCATCTCTGACTGAGGGGTAGTTTTGGTAATGACGATGGTTTTCCCCAGCTTCGATTCCAGGTCCACTTTGTAGTCTCGGTGCCGCAGAAGTTCCCTTTTGACAGGCTGAGCTGGTTTGCCTAAAACATAAGCAAAAAACCAAAGTGTTTATCAGAAAAGGTCAAGCTCAACGCACTGGAGTTCATGTTGGCCTTGATGAAGAGGGGCTACCGGGAACCTGGGAACTACCAGGTTCATGCAGAAATTGCACTTTTTTTTTTTTAAATGAGTAAAGGATAATTTCCTCCTCACTATTTCCCGGTTCCTATCAGAACCAGGTAGATCTGTGAGGTATCTCCAGCTCTGACTGGGTCATACTCTGAGATCTTCTTGTTTCCAGGGGCTGATTGTTCCTCTCCCTCCCCAAAGAACAGGCAGACAGAGGCAAAGGTTCTCAGTAATTACTTTTGTCAAAAAAATATATTCAGTGGCAAGCACAGGAAAAAGGATCAGAGCAAGACAGCCTTGAATGGCTGCTATTTCCCTCTGGGATTTCACTTCTCTCCCTCTCAAACTCAAAGGGTTTGGGTGACTCACTGCCAAATGAGCAAAGCTTGCCTGGAGTCAGTACACTACGCACCATCTTTCTTTTCTCTCTCTTCTGTGAGCCGCTTCTCTGCAAGTTTCTCATACTCATCTTTGTCCCACTTTCGGCGGAAGTCCAAGTTCTTAGTCTGAGAAGGAAACAAAGTGTATTAACATTTATTATACAGTCTGACTAGCTCTGAGGGGAGACTGAGGAAAGAGGTGGAATCACTTGGCCTCTGAGGCCACAGCAGTAAATTAGGGGCACTACGCTATATCCCCATGTCCTCTGTTTTCATATCTAGGAATTAAGGACGTAGCTTAACAGAATAACACTCAGCATGCCTATATCTCCTTCTTCTAGAAGGATTTCAAAGCACTGAGAAAAGTAGTAAGTTTATCTTAATAGCTCCTGAGATGATCACCCAGGCTTTCGCTCTGAAAAACAGACACGAACGGGATTTAAACCCGTTGATCTAAGACCTCAGAAGTGCCACCTGACAAACACAGCACAGTCATTAGCAGGTTACACGTACTTCTTCCAGAAGTCAGCTAAACCCACGTCGCAAATATCAGATGAGGAAGCCGTGAAACACAACACGAGCTATAGAGAGTTTGATTAAAATGCAGGAGTACAGAAGGCTGTGTATACCTGCTCTCAAAGAGATCAGCAGTGTCTGTGCATTACGGGTATCAAAGCGCTGAGTTTGCTATGGAATCACAGGAACCAGTACGGGTTTTTCAAGTGAGACACGCGTACAAGCAAACCAGAAAAAGCTCTGAAACCCCATCTGTCAAGGCACGGCGTGGAGATACCAGGGAAGCACCTGTACGAAACGCGCGGTAAGCTGTCCTGCTCCTGCAGCTTCACGCTGCAGAGACGCAGGGAAGGGAAGAAACATCTCTGAGGCAGACTGGCCCTTCGGCAGCTCCCCAGAGCACTCTACACTGGCAGCGACAGGGTAAGCTGCAGGAAGAGAAGCTGAATTCAGGCGAAGCTGGCACTGAAGAATACAAAGACTGTTCTTTTCAGGGGAGATTTTTACCTCGTCACCAACGCTGAGGGCAGAAGTGACTGGACAAGAATCCCTCTTCCATTCACGTCTACTCTCACCAGACCAGCACAGCCTCTTCCCAGTGTCTGCCCCATCTGCAGTTGAGGCCCCTGCACCTTGTGTCGGTCACGGCTTATAGCTCCGACACTTACTTACTTTCTTGAGAAGATAACTCTCGTTTGGTTAGAAAGCTGCATTTCACTCGGCACAGCAGTGAGAGGCTCTCCGTTTCATATTAAAAAAAGGACGGATGTATTTTAAAACACCTCTGGGAAAGAAGGACCCCTCCACACCCCACCACCTTCTCTGTTCAGCCAAATCAAGAATCCAATCACAACCCAAAGGAAATAAGTCCCATTTGAAGCTATAGCAGCAGCACAGTCATTTAACGTTTTCTCCTCTGGCGATCCTTCAAATGGAACAAACAACTACTGATAGGAATGAAAATGCCTTAGGGAGGTGTAGAAAAATTCTCATTTATTCCCAGAGCTTCTTAAGCACTTTAAGCATGTCATAACAGGTTTTATTAACCACCCTGAGCAAAAGAAAAGAAAATATCATGGAGTGTAAATTAACGTTTGGGGTTATTTTCCAGAATCTAGACTCTCCTGCATACCAGCACATCATCACAAATCATAGCTGGTGGGAGCCCAGGGAGGAGGCAATTTACTTGCTGCTTCACTCTGCTGTTGCAATGAACGGGAAAGAGTCTTTTGCAGCTTTTTTACCAATCTTCCTCATCCAGGCACGGGGAAAGAAATTAAACCCAAATGCGTAACAAGAACTTGGCTAGACACCATCCGAAGGAACTTTTCTTAACTGGTCTGGTGGAGGCAAGGGTGGCTGCAAGCCCTAAAATCTTCTTCTAGGAACTGCTTTGGGTGACAGAGAGTATTTCCCAAATAAGTAACAACAATTAAAAATCAGAAGTGCCCCATAGCCTCCTCTTCCCTCTGGAGGTGGACACCGAATGATCTGCCCAGTATCAGCGTCAAAGCCTGTAAAATACTACAGGAGTCTCAAGTCTGGCTCGATCCAACACGAACGCAACTGCCAGCAGCTGGGAATAAAACACAGGCCCCAACTCACTCCCGGGCAGACCTCCTGCTCCCTGACCTCTCTCAGCACTGCTCACTTCTCAGCCAGTGGCTTCGAGTGAAGGAAAGATCGGCCAAGAAAGCAGAAAAGCACAGCCCCTGCGGTGCTGACAGCTGTCTAGGGTATTACGGGGGGTGTTTAAACCGGTCTGGCTCTCCAGTCATGTTAAGCCAATGGCATCCACCTCACTCATCTGATCTCGGCATTCCCAACACCAAATCCTGCAGGATCCATAAAGGCAGAAAGACCTCACTGCCACGTTACACACACTGAGCAACGCCAATAAAATAAAGCTACATGGGAGCCATCGGAGGCTCCAGAATCACAGTCACGGAAAGGGCGGTTTCTCCATGCAGGGCAGATAGCAGCAAGCAGCAACTTCAGCAGGACAGTGTGAGAGCCAGCCAGGAAACAGGCAACCCCTTCCCAGAGGAGCCAAGAAGCAACGGGGCAGGACAAGAGGGGGCATGGAAGGAGGGACCTGCCTCCACCCCTCACCACCCAGCCCCAGGCAGCCCCTGCGATGGGCTGGTCCCCCCCGGGGGGCTGAAGGCGGGTGGGCACCCCCACCCCGGGGGCTGGGGCGGGTTCGGATCTCCTCACACCGC